GACTCCCAGTCTAGATAAGCATCTTAATAATAGCTCACATTTATTTGATATTTTAAGTTCTGTAAATGGCTTCGTGTACATTTTTCCTTTTGCTATATTTACAACAACCCAGTCAGGTTGGTGCTATTATTATCCCCACTTTACAGATGATTAAATTGGGGTTGAAAGTCACCCCATTTCGCCTCAGTTTCATCATCTGTAAAACGGAGATAATAACAGCACCAACCTGACACGGTTGTTGTAAATACAGCAAAAGGAAAAATGGGAAAGTGGCTTCCCATGGTCATACATAGCTACAAATGTATTGTAGCTTTCAGATCTACAAATAAGAGAACAAATCATGACCAAACAAGACCAAATCACAGAAGAGAAAAGTGGACAGTTTGAATTACATAAAATTCAAAAGTTTTTGCATAAACAAAACTAACAGCCAATATTAGAAGAGAAATAGGTAACTGGGGAGAAAATCTCTGTAGTTAGCTTCTATGTAAAGGTCTCATCTTCAAGATACATAAAGAGTAGATTCAAATTTGTAAGAATATGAGCCATTCCCCAACTGATAAATGCTCAAAGGATATAAATATGTGATTTTCTATGGGAAAAATCCAAGTTATCAATATCCATTTTTAAAATCCTATAAATCACTAATAATTAGATAAATTAAATCAATACTGAGGTTCTACCTCATTCCCATCAATCTGACAAACTTGACAAAAAGGGAAAGTTAAAAATGTTGTCGGGACTGCAGGCAAACCAGGCACATTAAAACACCTCTAGCTGAGCAATGAAATGGTACAGCCATTATTGAAAACGATTTGGAACTATACTCCCAAAGTTACTAAACTGTGCTCTTATTCCACGATTAGGCCTATACCAAATGTACAAAAGTATTTATAGCAGCTCTTTTTGTAGTAGCAAAGAACTAAAAATGAGGGTACCCATCATCTGGGGAATGGCTTAACAAATTATGATATATGAATGTAAAGAATACCATTGTGCTCTAAGAAATGATGAATGGGACAGTTTCAGAGAAACCTGGAAAGACCTGTACGAGCTTTTACAGAGTGAAGTGAGCAGAACCAGGAAAACAAGGTATATAATAATAATGACACTAAAGACAAGCAACCTTGAAAAGAGGTTAAACAAAAACTCTGATCCATACAATGCCTAACCACAATTCCAGAGGACCAAGGAGGAAGCATGCTACTCATCTCTTGACAGAGAAGTGATGTGGACTCAGGGTGCAGAATGAGATATATATTTTTGAACGTGGCCAAAATTTGGAAAGTTGTTTTCTTTGATTATGAATATTTGTGACAAGGATTTATGTCTTTCCTTTTTTTTCCCAATGGAGATAAGAAGGCAGGAGAAAGACAAAAATAGATTTTTGTAAGTTGAAAAAAACTTCAATTTACAACAGTGCTGGATTCACATAGAGGTAGCTAAATAGGTGGCACAGTGGATAGAGCATCAGGCCTGGAGTCAGGAAGGCTCATTTTCCTGGTCTCAGACATTTACTAGCCATGTGACCCTGGGCAAGTTACTTAACCCTATTTGCCTCAGTTCCTTATCTGTAAAATGAGCTGGAGAAGGAAATGGCAAACCATTCCAGTATCTCTGCCAAGAAGACTCCAAATGGGGTCACAGAGAGTTGACACAATTGAAAAATGACCAAACAGACTCAAACACAAACAGATCCTTCCAACTGATGTGTAAGGACTCAGAAAACCAAAAGTTAACAATATCTATGTTGTATTTTATTTTTGTTTAACATTTAAACATTTCTCAATTACACTTCAATTGGTTCAGGCCCCACTTTGGAGTATTGCAGGTTGCTTTCATCAGAGTGTGAGTTTGAAGACTCTGCTCTAGATGATCATTAAATGGGATAAACAAGCCCTAAGAAATCAAGAATTTACTACAATTTGCAATCTTAGTCAAATCCTTTTTTCTCCTTTTATTTGGGCCATGAGTCATTCTTCCACATTTTAATTCAATTTGTTGGTCCAGAATTTTGTCTCTCCTCCTTTTCCACCAATGCAGAGACACTGGTCCTCTCTATTCCCACCCCAAAACTCCATTCAGACTTTTTGTGACAGAAGAGGAGACATCCTCCTCCCTCTGGTATATACCAGGAGATAAATCTATGCCACAAATAAATAAGGTTTGAAGTGCTACTCAAATTCTTGGCTCCAACAAAGTGGCAGAATTCTCCTAATCTAGGAGCACCAGATTAGACATTTCTCTCTTTTTTCTTTATTTCCTCTCCTTCAGGTGAGGACCTTCATAACCTATTCTTGACCTCACAGGCTGCAGCCTTTTCTCTGGCTGTCCCCCAAGTCTGGAATGCTCTCCCTTCTCATTTCCTCCTCTTGCCTTCCCAGGCTTCCTTTAAGTCCCAACTAAAATCCTACCTTCTACAGGAAGCCTTTTCCAATCCCTCTTAATTCTAGTACTTTCCCTCCATTAAATGTTCTGTTAGGCATTCAAAGCCCTTCGTAAGCTAGCCTCATCTTACCTACCAATTCTTCTTACGACTCATTCCTCAACCTGTCCTCTTCCACCCAGTCACACTGACCTCCTGGTTGTTCCACAAACAAGACACTCCAGCTCCAGGCATTTTTTTCAGCTTGTCCCCCATGACTGGAATGCTCTTCCTTCTCATCTCAAGACTAATCACTTCCCTGACTTTCTTTGAGTCCCAACTAAAATCAAACCTTCTACTGGAAGCCTTTCCAACTCTTCTTAATTCTAGTGCCTTCCCTCTATAATTAATGATTATTTCACATTTATCCTGTAGAGAGCTTTTTTCGTATATATTTGTTTGCATGTTGTCTCCCCCATTGGACTATAAGCTCCTTGAGGGCAGGTACTTTGCCTCTTTTTGTACCTCCAGTGCTCAGCATTGTGCCTGGCACACAATAGGTGCTTAGTAAATGTTTATTGACTATTGATTGATGACTGAGTAATTATTTCCTATTTGGCCAGTACATAGTTTGTTTGCACATATGTTTGTTCTCTCTCCCATTAGATTACGAGCCCCTTGGGGGCAAGAACTATGTTTGGTCTTTTTTTTTTTCTTCGTATCCTGAGCACTAAGCATAGTACCTAAGAACATAGTAGGATCTTAATAAATGCTTGTTGAACTGACTGACCAGCTGCTATAACTTCAAGATGTCCCATGACTGCCAACTACAAGCATTTATCTTCTCTCCTCCTACAACCTTTTTTGTTCTCCACATTCTGCCTTGAGTTTTTTTGTTTGTTTTTTTTTTTAATTACACATTGCATATTTCCACTTTACTACTTTCTTTCACTTGGGCCCTTCTGTTTTAAGGTGTTTTTCCATTCATCACCTCAAACAATAACTAAAAACTAACCTTCCCAGAGAATTAGAACTGCCAATTAGATTTTGCCCAGCCTTGCTTTGGTCCTATACACAATCTGTTGAGAGACTGTTAGCTTTCTAGGGTAGGCCACCCTTATCTACAGTACACAAATAGCACATAATAAATGAGCCACTGAAGTGCAAGAATGACACAAAATGAAACTAACCCGAGTAGGAGCACAATGGCAACTCCTACCATGAAAGCCATTTTTTACTACTGATTCTCCGTTTCATACAAGTTAAAGTTTTCCCTATTTAAATTATAAACACCAAGAAAATCGACATAATTTTATATTTTTATGTCCTGGATTCAATGTTCAAAGCACGCTGCTAAATTCAAATGCTTTTTTTTTCCAATTTAAATGATACTTGATTAAATGCAGCATAGTACAGTGGGAAAAACACTAGATTTGAAGTCAGAGGATGTAGTTTCAAACCCCAGCTCAGCTACTCATTACTAGTAGGACTTTGCTGCTTAAGCTTTCTCAGCCTCACTTGCCCACCCATAAAGTTAGGTGGCTGGACAAAGTGGCCTCTATGGTCTCTTCTAGCTCGAGGTCTCTGATCTAATTCCGGAGATCTGAAATGATCCCCACTGTCAGTGGGGGAGGCCAGAAAAGGAGACAACCAATGACAGAGCTGGACTGACTCCCCTAGGAAACATGGCAGTCATTTAGTCAAATCTCCATCATTTTTATAATACCCTCTGGTATCCACATACATGTAGTCTTCAGTCAGACATAACATATACAGACCACTGTAAGGACTCTTGACTATAACCCTGGTGATACCTGCCTATACTTTAGAAAAAATACTTTAGGAAAAATTGCAAGCATGCAATTACCAAATATTTGCAACTAGACCTTTTATTTTATCCTTTACCATCTCTCTCTAGATTTGTATGTTTTCATACTTATATAAATACATGATATAACCTATACATTCCTATGTTAATAAGAATACCAATTCAAACTCAAATTACTCTTTGTAAATTTACAGTTGAAAAATAATTTGGCACATAATTAAGGACTTTACCTAGTCAGATATCTGTGCTCCTAGTACTAACCTCAGAGTTTTCATAGATAATTTACATGGATTCTGTATATACGGGCACATAAAGAGTAACTAGCATCAAAAGACAAGAGATCATAACATTTTTGTTATTCCTTGCTTTGAGATTTATTTGTGCCACTTTTGATTCTCTGTCCTCAAATCTAAATACAGCCATTATTTGAACTTCAGTTCTGCCAAGAACCCAGAGGCTGACACTTTATATTGGATTATAACAACAGACAGCATTCTGCTCTAAGACAAAGGCTTTCAGGACTTTCTCTTTACTTTTCAATTATCAGCTCCATGAATTCATAATAATCCAGCAAAGAAGCTCTAGGCTAAAAAAGCCAACTACAACATCCACACTATCATAATGAAGGGTGCTGCTTCCAGAAATCCAGAGGTGGCTCACTTATTTGTCTTGACTCATGGCAACATCATCTCCCTACCACCAAAGCATGCATGTCCCTACATGCGATAAAACCCCAGCATAATTTCATTGAAGGTACAAATTTTATTAATAAACCTAATTTTGTACAGAAATAGGCAAGATAGTTACCGAGTCTCTGTAGTATAGGTGATCCAGGTGGAGATGTATTTACACTAGGAGACAAGTAGAGATAGTTTTTGTTCACTCCTGAATCGAAATCAAAGGGTGATTTATAGTCCTCATATAAGTCCATCTCTCCGAGATCCATTCCAGGAAAATGGACAGCACATGGTCTCATGAGAGCACGCTTCTTCTTCCATTTAGCCAGAGGCACATTAGTCTCTGCTCTCTAAGTTGTAAGAGCCTCATGAATAAAAGTGACCAGTGTTTCAATATCCTGCTTTTCCCCACAAAGTATTCTACTTCCTTTTCAAACCCTTGAGATTCACATGACTAGCAAATACAACACCTGTTTAATAAGTGACTGGTCCAGAGCAATCCCAGGAGTAGCAGTTAATTTCTGTCAACAATGAATAACCTGGGCAGAGTTAAAATGAATATTCTTCAGTAAACAAAGAGAAGGAAACTCCAACCTAAGATATAGGCACACAATTCTAAAAAATCTCAATGTAGTTTTGCCTGCGACCAAGGCATTTCTATTTTTTAAACAAACATGTCAGCTGACCTCAACTCCACTAGAATAGCCTTAATCTTCTAGGACAGAAAAGGATTACTAGTCAGTAATCTACTCTAAATACCATCTGGGTAGTGCCACCCCCTCCCCCATTATGGCTAAAATCCCAAGTATATAGCAGCTTCCTGGTTCTTCAAAAACCTTTCTAAAAGCTTAACTTCATGGAGTTGAAAGATAGGTATTTCTACAACTGACTTTTTCTAACACATAAAGAGTTTTAATTCCATTTGTGAGGGAGGGTGGGGTTGCTGTATTTTAGTCATGTGTCCCAAAACACTATGGGTTAACTTTTTAAATAAAACTATCTGCTGCTACAAAGCTACCAGTATCGTGACCCTTCTTTGTTTAGCTGAATTTTGGCTCTGCAGGTGCCAAAGTTAACCTGCCAAATCATACAAACTTGTGAAACCACACAGGAAACCACACAAATAAATCTCAAAAACTGCACAGCAGTCCCTTGACCATCATCTACAGTTAGCCAACATGAATCTAAGCTGGTAACTCATCACCTTTGATAGGAATCTTTTAACAGAGCACTTCTCAGCTAAAAATGAGCACTGAAATTAGCTCTAAGTTCTCAAATAGGCCTTTGTTTAGGCAATGGCCCACAGTGTTTCCGGTGGTTTTTCACCACACGATTCATCTAATATTATTTGTCCAGGGAAAGACACTAAAAATAAAACAGCCTTGGCTATCCATAAATAGGCACAGGGCAACTATGAAATGAATAAAGTAAACATTCAATTTTTTCTTACCTACATAGCAGAAAAAAAATACTCTATGTGCTGATCTGTTGGATTAGTGACAAAAAAGAGATCTGATTTACTTCAACCATTTAAAAATGTGTATCATCTTGCTAGGGTGGCAAGGTGGCACAGTGGATAGAATGCCTGGAGTCAGAAAGACTCATCTGTGTGAGTTCAAATCTGGCCTCAGACACTTACTAGTTGTGGGACCCTGGGCAAGTCCCTTAATCCTATTTGCCTCAATTTCCTCAAATGCAAAATGAGTTGGACAAGAAAATGGCAAAACACCCCAGTATCAAGAAAATCCCAAATGGGGTCACAAAGAGTGGGATGTGACTTAAATGACAGAACAGCATCACCATCATCATCATCCTCATCCTCCTCTTGGTATTCCTACCATCACCTTCCATAGCACTACCTAGCTTGCTAAAGTGAATCAGTCAACTAGCATTTATTAAGTGTCTGCTATGCCAGGCACTATGCAAAGTGCTCTAACACAAAGTTTGAGTCACGTCCTGCGCAAACCTTGCTCCTTCTATGTTTTAGACCTCTGATTTTACCACCTTACCTCCATCTGTGATCATAGTATCTGTCACTGTAGCCCTTAACACGGAGATGGCACAGAATTGGAGCACAGTTAATGGAATCCCTGATCCTATTCTTAACCCTGGTTTTTAGTCACCCAATGATCCAACAGGAGAAAAGAAAAAGCATTTCTGCACCACAAATTACTCTTCTTCATAAAACTACATGACTAGTGGAAAATCCTGGACTCAGCAAACTATACTTCATAGTATAATTTATAGAAACATTGCATACTATCTATAAAAGTTTCTACCAAAAAAACCATTCTGGGATTTGAACTTTTTTTTTTTAATTGCATCTGCCTAAATTCCTGTCTGAGTATGTATTTACTACAAGCAAACCTGCTGCTTCTACAGGCTCATTCCAGCATTCATGAAACTCAAATACTATAAGTAAGCTAAAGAACTAGGCATTCGAATACTGACTGATCATTCATTTACTTGACATTTATTGAGCTCCTACTTATTATGTGTGACTTCTAGAAGTGACCTTGGATTCTCAACCTCTATGTCATCAGAGTACACACTCTGGGCAATTTCTACCCAAATAGAGAGGCTTCAAGAATGGGTCCCGTGACGGACTGAATGCCTATTGTCTGAGGATCAGCCTAGCAAAATGGGAGAGCTGTATCCCCAGGTTCACCACAGTGAGATGAATTTTTTGCCCAGGGAAACTTGACAATTGTTTCCCAAGTTACAAAAAGGTGGCACTTTTTGTTGATACAGATAATTACTATGTGAAAGGCACAGTGATAAATGCTGTGGGAGATACAAAACTAAATAACCTCAAGAAGTTTACAATGTATAGGTAAGACACCTATGCTAATTAATACAAGACAGAATGTGGTATATTAAAGAGGTAAAAAAAAAATATTGTAAATTATAAGGAAACCAATTTTATTCAAGGTGATCAGGAATGTCTTCGTGGAAAAGGGTGCACTGGAGCCAAAAGAAGAGACAAAATTTTAAATAAAATAAATTCAAAAAATTTTAAAGTCGGGGGAAAAAAGAAAAAAGATCATCTGAGTTGGTCCCTAAAGGACTTCTAGAATTTTTGCAGACAGTGCATATTGGAAAATAGGAAAGGATATTGGGAAATAGGAAAGGGAAAGGAATTTCAGGAAAAGGAATTAATGTGCAATTATATAGCAGGTAAGAAGCACAGATAAACTTGTGGCATGAACATGGCTGACATAGAAATATGTTTTGCATGACTTCACATGCATAACTGATATATAGGTTGCCTTCTCAACGAGTAGGGGAGGGACTGTAGGGGAGTGAATTTAAAACTCAAATTTTAAAATATGAATGCTGAAAAAATGAATTATTGTTTAAAAATTATAAGTTTTTGCATGATAAACAATGTAATTTATCTCATACTTAGAGACGAATAGTGATAAAGATAAAACTGCAGAGGGAAGTTGGGGCAAAATCATGGAGAACCTTAAATTCCATACAAGAGTTTGGATTTTATTCAACAGGCAATGTGGAGCCATGAAAGGTTTTTGGGAAGAAGAATAAAATAATCAAGACTGTTCTCTAGGGAAATTAATCCGGCAGAAGTGTGAAGGATGAGAAAAACCAGGTAAAAGCCACTTACAGTAGTCCAGGTGACAAGTGACCTACTTTGTCAAGTATAGCTGTTTTAGTTATCAAACACTACAAAAAAATTTAAGATGTCTAAAAAAGTGCCTAGATAAGGAAAATAATGAAGACCAAATTAAATTTAGGCATAGTATCCAAGAACATAAAATCTACCTATCAATCAGCAAACATGCTTGGTAGTATCTATTAACAGAGGGAAAGAAACTTAAGGGCAGAAATTCGTGTATAGATTCAAAAAATAAAAATGCTCATATCCTGAAATGCCAGCAGGGGGCAGACATGGAACAGGTTGCAGCAAACACTTCAATTGTACCATGACTACAACAGATGCGGGGCATAGAACTAAATGAGCAAAACCCATTTAAAAATCACAAACTGCAAAGCAAGAAAGGATAGTTAGAAATTGTAGATAAAAGAAAATTATAACTCAGATTTAAATTTTTTTTTGTTTTATTTCTAATTAAAAAGAGTTCCAAAGCTATATAACTCCACGTTTTCAGGCTTGAAAAGTAAAAATGAAGACTATTTGGTCACTATTCACTTCTTGAGAGTCACACTCAAGTTCTATCTCTGATACATATTGGCTGTGATCCTGGGCCTCCCAATGCAACTCTCTAATATCATATTACACGTGTATACACACATACACACACACACAAATAAAATGATATATATGTATGTATGTATATGATATGTCCATATACACATGTATACATGTATACATGTATGTATGTTGAAAAGGGGTGCTGGTCTGTTTTTAGAGCATGTTTCCTCATTCAGCTGGGAGTTCCCTATGAAATTGTTAAGTCTAGTCCTGAAACATGTTCCCTATTTGGAACAGCAACCTGAATAGTAAAATTAAAACAAAGTAGTATGTTTCATTTCCTCTCTATTCTTAAGTAAATGTGACCATATTGTAGACATGGTATAGAGAGTTTGGCAAACAAATGCTCCTCCAAGCTCAGGGTAATTTGGCTCTCCTAACCATTGCTTAATTTCTGAATTGAAATTAAAGGACACCAAGAAACTTTTCTTGGGGGAGAAAAGGAGGGTTGTGTGATATTTTAAAGACTGGTGTATCTCTTTTCAAACCTGAGAAATATTGCCACATCAACTGTTTTAATCATGATATTAAAATGTATCTGTGAGCTCATTGGTATGGCTATTCATTCCACTGATGCAGACTGAAACTTATCCATGTCTGTCCATCCCGTGTGACTCTTGGCCACGTCTCTACTTAAGTTGGTCAGAGAAGATCCACCCATTGCACTGGAGTTTTTCTATTTCTCTTTTTCTCTTGATATCATGAAGATAACAATGTAGTACAAAGGCTATTTGTAAATTAGCCTTTGTTCTTGCTACATGTCCAGCTCATCTTTTTTGCCTACACTTTTTTGAAAAAATTCTTTATTCTACTTCTCTAATTCTTAAACTGTAATATTTCTATTAGTTCTACCACATGCCTCCAAGTGAACATCAAATTTTAATTTTTCAGAGGCTGTAGTGTTCTATCCCTTGTACCATTCAATAACACCAAAAAATTCATTTAAAGAGTGGGCTTTTGTTTTCCCTCATTTTTTTTTTTTAGGCAATTGGGGTTAAGTGACTTGCCCAGGGTCACACAGCTAGTAAGTGTCAAGTGTTTGATCTGAGGCCCCATTTGAACTCAAGACCTCCCAACTTCAGGGCCAGTGCTCTATCTACTACAACACCTAGCTGTCCTTTGGGCTTTTGTTTCAAGAAGAATCTTGGGGTCACCAAGA